TCGTCTATGCGTTTGGGAGGGATCCCTCCCGTTGTTGGCCATTCGGCCTCGCTCATCATCATTTATTTTGCCCGATCTCCAACGCTTGTCCCAGTCAGCAGCACTCGTACCATGCGGTCACTCAGCGGCAGGACCTTCAGAGTGGAGGGGTGCCTCAAATATCTGGCTTTTGGCCATTGAAGAGGTCATCCCTCAAAAGCCCCCTGGCTGGGAGCCTTTTACCAAGGCTCCGGAGGGTCGTGACCCGTTGGACCCCCTCCCACACGCTGGTGTGCAGTTTACATCCCCAGGACAGCCGGGAGATGGGTCTGCCTGCGTGTAGCCATAAACCGGAAGCAAAAAAAATTAACTTTTAAAATTTTAAAATCATTCAATCAAATGCATAAGCATACAACACCAGAACCAGGGAGGAGGCCAATAAATGTTGTTGGGGGTACGTCCAACCAAAATGTCTTTGCTGGCTGGCAAATGACACTGATAGCGGGGAACAGACAAATCTCCCTGAGGAGGGAGTTCCAAAGTTTTGATGCCACAGCCAAGAAACTCTTTCTTGGGTCACTGCCCATCTAGCTTCAGATGGAGGGGCAACAGAAGCAGGACCTCCAGAGATAACTGGAGTGAATGGGTGGATTCAAAGCAGAAGACAGTCCTTAAGGTATGTTGGTCTAAGGCCATACAGGGCTTTAAAGGTAAATAACAGTACCCTGAACTAAGCCCGGCAGCAAACTGGAACCCAGTGTAAATGGAACAAGATTGGAGTGATATGTTCCCTTATGACCCACTTCAGTCAAAGCTCTGGCTGCAGCATTCTGTACCAGGTGTAGCTTCTGACAGTCTTCAATGGCAGCCCCATGCACAGCACATTTCAGTAATCTATTCTAGATGTTACTAGGGAATGCACCACAGTGACAAGATCTTTCCTGCCCCAGAAGGGCCACAGCTGGCTCACCAGCTGAAGCTGGTGAAAGGCACTACTGCCTGTTTATCCGACAGGAGGCCCAGGTGCAGGAGCTCTCCCAAGCTACAAACCTGTTCCTCTGGGAAGAGTGGAATCCTATACAAAACAAGAGACCCCCCCCTTCAGTAACTGGAATAATGTTGTGTGGGTTTTCTGACTAACATGTCATGAAATAACCAAGAAAGAGGTTGTAATAAAAAAATTAACATAGGCATGGTTTAGGAGGATTTCTCAAATTAAAATGGTGATATTGGTGAAAATTTTTGTTTTATTTCAAGTTGTCTCAATAGTTATCCAAATAAATCACTATAAAATGGCAAAAAATAGTCAATCACTTTATATACTATGGACAAAGAAGTGACCAAGGGTGCACTTATTGTTACAGAAGGCTAAATATGGAGGATTAATAACCCCAAACCTTCCAGTTTATGTAAAATTATTTTAGCAGTGATAAGATAAGGGTGCCAGGTATGTTGAGATGGAACAAATATTTTCTTATGTCTAGGAGGAGATACAGTAAAAAAATTATATGCAACAATCCCCCCTTACGATCTATGACAATTTATGACACCTGAAGCACTTCTTATGACATCTGAGCAGGCCAATCTGGTTGATGTTAAAGAGTCTAGCACTTTATTATTATATCTGATTTTAACATGGTATTTTAATATTGTATTTATATTAATTGTTGATGTGTTTTGTATCTATTGTTGGCATTTTATCTGCTTGTAAGCTGCCCTGAGCCGCCCAGGCTGGGAGGGTGGGATAAACATTTGAATAAATAAATAAATAAATAATACCTCTAAAGGCAAAATCTCACAGTTTACAGAAGGCACTTAGGTGAACACTGGAGAAAAGAATGGGATGAATATTATACCTCCTGGAAAATCAGGGATATCTACATACAGTGCTGGAGGCGTACACTTAACTGACATATGGATTTAAAAATTAGTACTAAAATTCTCAAGATTACAGGAAAGTCAGTTAATCTCTGTACAGTACAGTCAAATGAAGAAGTAATAGTACTAGTGGTTGTGGTTGAATTTATACCCTACCCTTCACTACCCAAAGGAGTCTCAGAGCTGCTTACAATCTCCTTTCCCTTCCCCTCCCCACAACAGACAACCTGTGAGGTAGGTGGAGCTGAGAGAGCTCTGAGAGAACTGCTCATAAGTTCTGACCCAAGAGCACACCAGCAGCTGCATGTGGAGGAGCAGGGAATCAAACCCAGTTCTCCCAGATTAGAGTCCACACTCTTAACCACTACACCAAACTGGTGTATGCCTTCATTTCACTTTGTTTTGTCTCTGGAGTCTGTGAACTTCTGAGGGGGATAATAGATCCAGGGAGAAGTTCTATTTTACCTATCAGCTGTTAAAATGAAATGGATTCCACCTTTAATTAATATGTGGTTTGTGCAGTTTAGAGTGTTTAAGAAATCAGGGTGTTAAAATTAGTGTTATACCATTTGTCTGCAAAACAGAATAAATGTTCCCCTAAAACAGTTCAGGGGACAGGGTCACTGAGTATGGTCCTTCACTCCCCTTCAGTAAATTAATTT